ACACACACACACACACACACACACACACACACAGACTAGCACAGTTGTCTCTCCATTACTTCAGAGGACATTATATTGACTTGCATTAATTTTGTGGAGACTTACTCTAATCGTAAACACAGTTACGACTTTCCTAACTCTAGCCCCTTACCCTTACCCCTAACCTAGCATGAACCTTAACCTAATTCTAACCTTAAACTTAAACCTAACTGTAACATCACCGTAACTTTACACTCACCGTATAAAATGGCTTCACTCTAAAACTTTACAGATTCATTATTAAAAACAGAATAAGGGTCCCCACAACATGAGTAATACCTGGACCATACACACACACACAGACACACGCTGATATGCACACAGAAACACACTGCACATGACATGCTGTCTGTAGCCATACAAAGCACACATGCATACATGAGTAATAATCATAACTTCATTTTGTGCATAGATCATCATCTTAAACACTATGTGTGTGTACACACACACATACACACACACAGCCCTCTCTTTCCTCTGTCTGTGCCACCAGCAGTGGTTTGATTGTCATTGACAGTTTCCATTAGTCTGCCTCATTTTGATCAGTTCAGTCATTTCAGGAAGTGGATTTTCCTCCCAAAACTCAAAGTGGAAACATGGTCCCACTGAATGGCTCCTGCATTTATCCAGAAATGATTGAGGATAACAGCTATGTCATTACCATGTGAATTGCAGTTTCAATTTACATTTTGGATGGAGGGAGTTGATGGAGAGCTTCGCTGTTAGCCCTCTCGTTCTCTCTCTGTGGTTGACTATATATCTCAGCCTTTATTTTCAAAACCCCCCCAATAGGGATGTGGAGGAGAGGAAAGAAAGATGAATGGATTTGAAGAATGAGATAATGAAGGGATGGAAAATGGGCAGAGGAAAGACAGAGAGAAAGATCAACCTCTCCTTCCTCTCTTGTCTGTCTTCAGCCTGTTTTGCTGATGGGCCTGATGAATTAGTGTCAGCTTGGCGCTGTTGGTAGTGGGAGGGTGTTTTTGAATGAATCATCAAAGCTTCTTTCAGGAGCAGGATTTTGCTTTTATTAAGCATGTTATTGCAGAGGTTTAGTGTTTACCCAGCAGCCACAATCAATTACCTGACACCCACTTCTTTCTCTACCTCCCTCCCTCGTCTCTCCTTCGGTCCACTGTTTATTAGTCATTTATCATAACTCCCAGATACTGACTGCATCAGCTTTAAACTTCACCCCTGCTTCTGTGAACTGTAACTGCTCAAACATGAAAATGTTTTTTTCTAATTTCTCACATTTCTCGTCTTTTTCCTTTTCACCTCCTTTTTTCATCTTTTTCTTGTCTTCTCATCTTTGTTTCACTCTTTCCTCATTACTTTTATCATCTACTCTGTCCAAGATGATCGTCCATCCCCTCAGTCTTCAATGATTTTTGGTTCCTCAAAAGTTAGTTTCTCTTCTCCTTATTTCCTCTCCTCTCTTCTTCTCACCCTACACCAAATCCCTCTCCTCTCCTCTCCAAGCTCCAATGGAGCCTATCAGACTCCTAATAAGAGGTTGAATGAGTCCTCCAGAGGCCTCTAATGATGGACTCCGTGTGTGTGTGTGTGTGTGTGTGTGTGTGTGTGTGTGTGTGTGTGTGTGTGTTTTCAGCTCTGCAGTGTGTTTGCCTTCATAGGAATTTGGCAGTTTAGTGCATGGTTGACGTGCCTGAGTGTGTGTTTGTGTGTGAGATAGGGAACTTTTCCTTCTTCTCCTAACACATTTTTTCACTTTGGTCCAGAGTTCAATTCCCATCATTAAATTTGCCTACACATGTTCAGTATTTTAATACCCTGAAGACTGAAATGTGTTTCTGAGATACTGCTTGTTGATTATTCCTATATCATTTAAAGATGTTTTTCATACAAACTCTGCACCTATTTGTTAATTCAGTAGGGTTGGGAATCCGAAACTCTATACCAAATTAGAACCCAATCCAAAATGCCAAGTACCAGGTACCTGTAAAAAAAAAAAATTCAGTTCTGCTTATCGGTTCCTAAACTGAAGCTAGGCAGAGCGAGCCATGGTGGCAGCGACACACTGTTCTCGATGGCATTCAAGGGAAAGTTGAGTAACATGACTCATATAATTTATGTCAATAGGTTTCCTATAAACAAGACGTACAACAAGCAGTCGCTGCAAGTTTCAACATTGCCTCTATCTCAGTTACAACTAATTTACACAGTGGATTAAAGACATTGAGCATGTCTGATAAGACTCTGAGATAAGTTTTAAGTTGTTCTTTTGTAATGTTGCTTGTCTACCAAAAGGCGTTACTACTGCTGCCCCTGTGTAACATGAAGCACGAGGAGATTGGCAGAGTCACACGCACTTATAACAGGAAAATCTCAGGAGCGTTAAAGCGAGAGGTGGCATCTAAGTAAAGCATAATTTAGAAATTCCACTGCGGAGATCATGTTTTTGTGTACAGCACATTGACACCAACATCGGCTCTTATCACCAAAAACTCTCAAAAAACTTGTTTCTTCAAGTTGAGATCTTTTTCGATGTCTTCTATGACACTTCCATTTTAATCTTATATATATTTGTATTCTTCTTCTTTGTTTTCTCTGGAGCTTTTACTGAAGGGCTGGCAGGAGTAACTGAAGAGAATGTCCTCAGCCAATCATTGGGACGTTTGCGTTCTCACATACAGTCCCTTTTGTCCATTTCAGGGGAATATGCAGCGTTCAGGCCTTTTCTGAAGGCAGCTTTAGTGTTAGAGAATGTTATGTGAACTATACAGCAATTACAGACGTGCAGTCTCCATGCACAGATCAGTGCTACAGACATTTTCATCCAGAGTCTTACTTCAGTGTCAAGCTGCTGTACCTGCCAATCATCACCTGCGTCCATGCTGACATGTTGACCCGGAGGTGACTCTTTTCATTTTTTCCTCCTCAGGCCTTTGGGAATGCCAAGACGGCCCACAACAACAACTCCAGCCGCTTCGGAAAGTTCATCCAGGTCAACTACCAGGAAAGTGGCACTGTCAGGGGGTGAGAAACACATATACTTATGATACACATGTACAGAGATGTGTTCACCTAATAGGGAGCGGAGCTTACTCTTACTGTGTGTGGTGTTTTCAGAGCCTATGTGGAGAAGTACCTGCTGGAGAAATCCCGTCTGGTGTACCAGGAGCACAATGAGAGGTGAGTGGTGACAACAGGTTGATACAGTCAGATGTTAGTTTGTTTACAGTATGGGCTGCTTTAACAGGGCTGACAACAACCGTCTGGTTACCTCCGCCAAGCAGTGTTTGTTTATTTGTTTTTTAGTTAAACCTCATATTAGTATGAAACTTGGGGAAGGGGTTTGGGTCAGGAAAGAACCCTTTCAATTCTGGTGCGGATCCAGGACTTCAATTTCACCTTCTTTAACATTGTAACAGACAGTGTTTTCATCATTTCTCAAAGAATAATTCATGGCGCTTGATGAAAAAAATCAGACATGTTTAAGGAACTGATATACAGTAAATGACTATTTGTACTCTGGTTCAGGTCCAAATCAAATTATTTTTGTCTTGTGAAGTTAAATGTGCTGTCATGGGGACTATTGGGCCTTAGAAAGAGTGAAGGTCCTTTAAGTTACTGATCATTTATTAGATAGATAGATCTTTGTTGTAATAATTCACACACTTCTGTTGGGAACATTTTGTCACTTGCAGGTTGTTTTTAGATAAAGTATAGGAATTCATCAGCAATTCTGAAATTGAAATTTTTTATCTACATTAAAAGTTATCATATAAAGTATTTAAATAATGCTATTTACAATTCTTCTATAAGTGACTCTAGTACATAGTCAACAATTAGATTGCAGTTTCCGCCCGCCTTTTTAAATGTGTTAATTTTAAGAGGACCCAATTTGGGATGTGTATGGATGCAAATCACCTGCTCCCTCAGGAAATTACTTTTTCAATGAAATTCTCTAAGAAATAAAGAATAATAAACTTAACCCTGGCTGAAGGGATGCAGCCATAAATAATCTTTATCTGAAATTGGATACACTGACATCCATATTCCCACTAGTTTCAAAGATAAAATGTCAAATCCATATCTCCGCTGTCAGGGTTTTCTATCTAAGAAACTCAATCCTGAAACAGCAACATGAAGATATATCAGGTGTTCATCAGAAATAATCTCCTGCCCTTTCCTCAACCATCAGCATCACATCTCGGTTTGGTCATTTTTGGAAACAGGACTTGATCATATTTTCAGGAATCTCTTTACTAAGTATCAGAAGAAAACATACACATTGTGAGAAATGTCATAAAGAGATTGGTGAAGTTTGTTAACAGCAACTCTGTTCTTGCTTCCTTTTTCTTCTACCACATTTTTACACAGTATATAAACCCGCTGTTGAATCCCCTCTCTACATGAAGGAGTCTCCACCTGCACCCACATTTTAAAAATTATTTTTCTTCTCTTAGACAATACAAACACCTTTTCTTTTCTCCACCAGCTCTGTCCCCATATCTATCTCCATCAATAGTAGAGAAAATGTCTTTGTGAGGGTATAAAAAACAATGTAAACCCCTCCACTGGTCATCTAATCCCTCTCACCCTGATCGGCCTCAGGTTTCCATTTCATCCTGATGACAGGCCCTGGCGGCCATATTGATAGGGTAGAAATTCAAGACAGGACCTCCCAGTCGGCTCAGACCTGGAACAGTGAGGTGGTGGGAGGGGGAGGCGGCTGATGATAAACTACAAACTATCTTAAATCTTTAAACCTGTTCAGTGACAGGTTGCCTCTGTATGACCCCAGTATAGGAAAAAGAAAGAGAAGTGAGAGGAGGAGCTGAGCTTTCCATGGATGCTGTCAGGGTTTATGACTTCAAACTTTGATGGGACAGTTAAGAACGTCAGAAAATGATCATATCTGACTTTTATTCTATGAAAATAGTTCCCTCAAATTCAAAGGGTTTTTTCTTGGCCCATGTCCCAGTTTCAATAAAATCTGTAATGTGTGTGTGTTTTTGTTTAATCATTACCTCCTTGGTGCAAGTAGTAACAAAAACAGTTTCCTTAAAACTTGTGGTTAATTTGTATGTAACACACAATCTTGAATTTATATCTATGCTCACACAGCCCACTCTACAAGTAGAAAGAAATTTAAAAACCATCAACCGACAGCACAAAGTAAAAGCACAGAATCTCCTTCGTGTTAACGTTACCATAAAAAACACAATGTCCAACTGTTTGCTGGCTGCATGATGTAAAACCACTAGTTCCTTCATTTATATCTTCCCCAAATTAAAAGCTACCAAGTACTGAATATGTGCCAGATGTTTTGCAATAATTTAAAAACTGATGTTAGATGACTGCAGTGTAAACAAGAAGGGCTTCCCTCCTGACAAACTGTGGCTGCGGACTATAATCAGTATTATTATTACAGTATGCCTGTACAAATTTTTTCCTCTGGAAAATTATAAACATAACAACGTGACACATTTTCCATCCAGAGCCATCTGCTCCTTTATCAGCTGTCACACTGTGCCAAACTGAAACTCCAAACACATGTCAAACACAGCCTGACGAGTGTTGGCAATATACATCAAGCTGCTGTGAACACACTGTATCAGTTTAAACTGCTCAAACTGGTGCTTACTCCTGCAGCGTTGGTGCCGTAGTCTCGACATCTTTCATAAAAGCTACAGCTCTGACCACATCCCTGCAGCCAAAAGCTCGTTCTGCTCTCTGCGCTCACGGACGGGTTTCCTTCAGGTTTTCATCTCTTTACTCAACAATGGTCTTTCAGGTTGAGAGCAGGACTTACTGATTTCATGTTGAGATTTTGTACCGCTTTCATTCAAAACCCTGCACTAGACCCTGCTGATGTTTTAGCTTTACTTCTTTAAGAGTACTGTACCAGCAGTAATTAAACTGGGTTCATGCACTTCCTCTCTCCCTGGCTTTATTATATGTTATGTACTTTTGGCATAAAATGACCTTTATTGTTTATATTACAAAACAAGTGAAAGTACCCACCTGTACAGGACGATTACAGAAGTACAGCTAACACGCACAAAGAGGATGGGACAGTTTTATTTGTCAACAACTTTGTTATTCTATTAGTTGGTGAATTGTGACAGACTTCTGCAATACAAACTTTGAAAGGGAAATCAATAAGTCGTGATCTGAGACTGAAAGACCACGCTCTTGAATAATGACTGGAGTAAAAATACATAAATAATAAATCATACTTATTTTTTATGCAATATTAAGCACAAAATAAACATTTTCATCACCTCATCGGTAATTTTGTACTTTTAATCTCCATACTAAAGTATGTATATATATGTGTGTGTAAAAAGAAATTTACTCGATATATAATTTCATATCATATATTTTTAAAACAAATACCAATATCGGTATCAACTTTAGAAACGGATTGGTTATGCTATAGTTAAGAGTAATAATGGCAAGAGCAGTGTGACTTATTGATAAAGGTATTAATATGTTAAAGGTATTAATATTAAAGCATCTCTACTACTACATCTCCTAAGTACAGTATACACGTTTTAGTTAATAACACACCAGCATATCAGTTACACTCTGGGATACTGTGATGCACCCTCTTTCTAACCTCCCAGCCCTCCATCAAGCACTAAGTGTCCCTGTGCAGAGAAGTGAAGCTGGTTTCCAGCTGTAATAGAATCACATCTCAGTGCCTCGGCCAAAGCCCCAGCTTTTGTCAGGGCTAATCAGAGGCCCTGAGCTCCAGCCCACACACCACACTGCTGTTTGTTTGACTTGAAAGGTGAGCCTGCCGGGTCAAAGGTGGGACTTATTTGTTACATGATGCAGGTTTGGTTTGTAAAAGAGGCTGCAGGTAGAGACATTTAAACTGTGAGATACTCGACCTCAAAGCTTTGACGTCGTCGTTGAATGCCGCTGTCCTCAGTTCACCTCTGAGAGCATTTAGGACATTTAAGAAGTCAATACAGGAAGTGCTTTTGTGGTGTGGAATCATCACCTCTAACTGTGTGGTTTGTGTGTGTCTGCAGGAACTACCATGTGTTCTACTACCTGTTGGCCGGAGCCAGTGAAGAGGAGAGGAAGTCCTTTCACCTGCTCAAACCTGAGGAATACCACTACCTCAACCAGGTCCGCGCACGCACACACACACACACACGCACACACATGCTAACACACACACACACACACACACACATGTCATTGAACATTTGTGTCTTCATAGCTTGGGTGTTATGCTTTTTTGATGATTTATTCACTTTTACATTTACATTGAACATAAAAACAGGCAGAGAGAAACTTACCTGCAGTGAAAGGTGTTTCATCTTCGGGCAGGATAATATTGTGATCAGTACAAAAAAATTAAAAGATCACTATCTACTATTTGTTTTGAAGATACAACTGCCAAAGGAGAATAAGCTCACTGAGCATGCTTGTAATATTTGTCTATGGTAATACAATACTGGCCCTGACATGCTTGTTTAAGTATTTTTAGTAATTTTTTGCCCTCCTCAGTTCCGAGGAGAATATATCAGTTCAAACTGATATCTGCAGTAGAGCAGACAAGGCCTAACATTGAGGTCCAGATTTTTTGTGTGCTTCAAATAATTCAGAGCAGATTTATATGAATAACATCCATTTTCTTTTTTTAAGAAAATTATGAATTATTGAAAAAAAGCCAGGACGCCTTGTAAAGCGATAGATGGAGACTATGATGATGATGATGGACAGTTTCTCCGTCTCCCCTCCATCCTTCTCTATCTGCTGGATCTTATTTATTCATTAATAATAAGTGGAGCACTTCTCAACACACTGTGAAGTGTTGATTGCATCAGCCCTTCGTCTGTGTGTGTCTCATCTGTGTGTGGCTCAGTGTGTTTACATGTTGTGTACATGACAAAGCCCCCACGTATCTCTTGCAGCCGGCAGCAGATGTGTTGCAGGATTCATATTCCCACTTGGCTACGGCAGCACACGAGGGAGGCCATAAAAAAGACAGGAAAAAGAAAATATTCTTTATTCATCTGTTTTGGCTTCCCCAAAAAAGTAACAGTATTTTTTCTCCGTCCTCCTTTAATCCCCACGACAAACCCCCGCCTCCTTCTCTGTCGACTGCCTGTTACTATGCAGCTCTGTTTCCATGGCAACAGCAAGACTCAGGAGTTAATCTGGCACCAGCTTCCTCTCGTGCAGAGGGCGCCGATGGTCGCGTGTTATTGTCTGAGTGTGTGTGTGTGTGTTTGTGTAGTTGAGTTCCTGACAAATAAAGACACACACACACACACACACTGGCGCGTGCTCCTTGCACAAATGGTGTCACAAAGGAGAAAAAAGATTATCCATATTTAGGTCTTATCCATCCAAGATGGATTTTGTTGTGTCTGTGTTAGTCTGTCGCTGTGTCTGTGCTGGAAATTAATACATTAACTCAGTGTTGTACTAAACCTTTTAATCCTTAAATTAACTATGATCAATATTTATACAATAACATTATATCTAAGCAGCTGTTAAAGGGGTCATGCATAGTGATGAGTTTACAGAGGGTTAGGGTTATCAAGTATCACCAGATTCTGAGCTCAGTTTGGCTTTATCGTGCACTACAGTGAGTTTTATGTCAATGATTTGCAGTTTAACCTTTTCTGTTTACCTAAATTCTCACCACTCTCTTAGTGTAGCAAGCAGTAATAAAAAAAAATGAGAATACAAATAAAGTCAATGGCAAAGACACAAATACACGCAAATCTGTAGTCACTCACACCGGACGGCACTAATGATGTGACGCAAAATTCATGTAATCCGCTTCTCTCTAAAAATGAGCTTGAGCATTGTTGCTAAAATCCAATGGAACTCACTGGTGACAGGTCCTGAGCTAGCAGGTCTTCAAATGTTTCTTCACGTCTGGTGTTAATGCAGCATTAGAGTATTATGAAGTGAAAATGAACTTAACCAGGTACAACTATAGAATTCCACTTTAACAGCACTTACACATTTTAACCTACATGAGTAGTATTTGTAATGGAGTACTTTTTACTGTTGATATTTGAGTAAAAGATGTGAATATGTTCTGTGGGGATGGATGGATTCATTTATTGCAGCTCTGGAGATGTTTGTGTGTGTGAGGATTAGTGCTTATTTTCCTCACGTTAAGCAGCGTGTGTGATGTTTCTCAGTCACTTGAACGTGTGCGTGTTCTTGTGTGTTATCACTGCCTCCTTTAACCCGCTCTGCCTTGCTTCCAGATGACAAAGAAATCGCACAAACTCCACTGGGACAATTACTATGAGAGCGAGCTGGTCAGTATCACGTGGATGACAAGTTGTTTGTGTGCATCTGTGCTCATGGGTGTGTCGTGGTACTCTGGGTGTTTTGGTGCCAGTCTTGTTCTCTCTCTCTCCTCCACACACTCGTCTGCTTATACTGACATGGACTGAAGATGGAGGCGGCCTGGACTGACCAGCCGCTCGTGCTCCATTAAAAAAAAAAAAAGCTGCCTGTCAAGTGTTTAAAGGGATACCTTTGACTTATTTAATTATTTAATTATATGAATAGATTTTTCTACTAGTGTGTATTGGCTTTTACTAAAGTCATTAACATCTTTTAAAGCGAGGTTTTCAAAGAATTTGACCAACAGATAATTAACTACTAACTAACTTGATACTTGATGCTTTCTAAAGTAAGATGAGTTCTTAAATTCCACCTTTCTCTTTGAAACCATGTCACATGAAAACGGAATCCCTTTAAACTAATTTTTGGCTTTGGATGCTGTGCTGTTTGGAAATGGGTGATGCTGTCGAATCTGGGAGCAACCATCTTTAAAGGGGAGGTTCAGGATGTTACCACCAACACTACAATAACATTTAATATTTGACTCATAGAGTATGTACCACACAGTGTAGACAACGCAGAGTAGATCATTTAGGTGATATTAATTTACTTTTATAGTTTTTGCAGTCACAGCTTTATTAACAGCAACCGGCAGCATGTTGTTAAATTCAAGGTCGGAGAGGAGAGGAAATGCAGAGACACTGTAAAAGATAAACTTATATGTAAAGATTTAACCCTGTCTGGATCATTACTGAGTGTCTTGAGCTGGTACCAGAATTATTATTTATGAAAAATAAGCAGGTCTTTTTTGAGAATACAATCGAAAATGCAAAG